GGGGGGGGGGGGGGGGGGGGGGGGGGGAAGAGAGAGAGAGAGGGCAGAAAATATGGAGAGATGTGAGAAAGGTTTTGAAATTTTTAGGTTTGGGTTAAAATTGTTACTGATTTTTTGTACATATATTTTTACCTTGAAATCCTTCAAAATCTATATACTTAATGAAATTTTTTAAAATCAACTAGTTATTGAGGACATCTAAATTTCAAAACTACCTATTAAAATCTATGTTGAGCACACCTAAATTTATAAGTATTTTTAAAAATCTAGATTGAGGACACCTATATTTTAATGAATTATATTTAAATCTGAATCGAGAATACTTCTATTTATATGGAGTTTTAAAATTCATCAAATTCTAGATTGAGAACACCCCTCTAAGTGTCAAAACCCATTTCGATATCAAACTCCTCCTGCCATATTAAATTGTAATTTGCACAAATGTCCAACAATATTTAGAATGTGCAATCTAGCTCTTAAATCCAATTAATTGTGCAACCAACATTTTTCTTTAGCTCAATTCAAATCCTTCAATTTTCAAAGTGTGACTTTGATCCCAAAAATTGTCGATTTCATTCAATTCCATCATTATTTCTTTTCTGAGTGCTTCGAATGAGTTAATTACTACAAACAGAATGAAAATTAACCCAAGTTAAATGGAAATTAATAATTTGATGACTTAAAAGTTTAATAATGTGTCCTAAATAAGTGCACAAATTGCACTTATTAACATGAATGGTAAAAAGAACAAAATATGAACTGTGAACTGGCTGGAAAAATTGTCTGCTGAAGAAAATGATGAATTCATTGAGAAATTTAGGAAAAGTGAAGAAAATACCTAAAGAACTCGAGGACTTTCTTCAAGAATGACAATGAAAATAATGTTACTTGTTATTTTTATCTGAAATGGATACTTTCTAGTTAATATTCCAAAAACAAGCTTACAATCTCATCAACTTCCTATGTCACGACACTTCTTTACTATCGTGTCACATTCTATAATGTGAAAGTCTCACAAGCTGTTACTTGGTAGCTCAAGCGACGTAGTGGGGGGATGTATGGGGGATGGGGAAGAACATGACATGAAGCGCGAAAATATCTTGTTTTACTTAGGTGTTATTAAATATTTAATGTAGAAAGAATGATTACTGAACAAACTTCAAAAGGTAATTTTGAAAATTATGCTAAAGAACTTCCAAAGTCAAAATATCTACAAGAAAAATACCATTAGAAAGACAAATCTCATTAAAATCCCACCCAAAACCATTGGCCATCTGCAACAATCATCTAAACTATGCTTTCAATTATAATGGAAGAAAAAGCTCAAGTTGCAGTAATAATGGTGCCATTTCCTGCACAAGGCCACCTCAATCAGCTTCTGCAACTCTCCTGCTTAATATCCTCATATGGGATTCGAGTCCACTACGTTGGCTCCGCCACCCACAACCGCCAAGCCAAATTCCGCATCAATGGATTAAACCCTCTAGACATAGCGAAAATTCATTTTCATGATCTTCCTATACCAGCCTTTGTCTCTCCTCCCCCAAATCCCAACTCGTCGATCAAATTCCCTGCACACCTCCTGCCATCATGGATTGCCTCGCTCAACCTGCGCCAACCAATTGCTGAGTACTTACGAGAGATATCCTCTTCGATGAGAAAAATTATCGTCATTCACGACACACTTATGGCCCCTGTAGTTCAGGATGTTGCTACAGTTTCAAATGCAGAATCCTATGTATTCAACTGTATCTCAACGTTCACAGAGTCCTCCCGTGTATGGGAAAGGATTGGTAAACCGTTCCCGATAAGACTACAAAAAGAGTTGCCCTCTATGGAAGGATGTACGACCGATGAAGTCAAAGAATTTGCAGCTTTACGGTTTAATCATCTGGGTATAAGAGCTGGAGATGTATACAATACCAGTAGAGTTATAGAAGGAACTTATGTTGATCTATTGGCAAGGGAAGAAATTGCTGGGAGCCGGAAGGCGTGGGCAGTGGGACCAATTCTTCCATTCAAATTATACTCTAATAGCCAGCATCAATGTCTAGAGTGGCTTGACCAACAAGGTCCTAAATCTGTTATCTATATATCTTTTGGGACGACGGTTTCAATGTCAGATGAAGAAATCAAAGAGCTCGCGTTGGGGTTAGAACAGAGCAAACAAAATTTTCTTTGGGTATTGAGAGATGCAGACAAAGGAGATGTGTTTGATGGCGAAGTTAGACGAGCTGAGTTACCAGAAGGGTTCGTGGAGAGAACGCGAGGAGTGGGAATGGTGGTGAGAGATTGGGCACCACAACCAGAAATTCTGGCTCATCCTTCAACTGGTGGATTTATGAGTCATTGTGGATGGAATTCTTGCATAGAAAGTATTACAATGGGAGTGCCAATAGCAGCCTGGCCAATGCACTCCGATCAGCCAAGAAACGCCATGTTTATAACAGATATATTGAAGATTGGTATTCTTGTAAGGGAATGGACAAAGCAGGGGGAACTAGTGAAAGCATCAATGATTGAGAACGTTGTGAGAAGATTGATGGCGTCAGACGAAGGAATTGAGATAAGGAAGAAGGCAGAAGAAGTAGCTGCTGCTGTTAGGATGTCGACTGAGGCAGGTGGGGTATCTCGAAATGAATTAGATTCATTCATTTCCCACATAACTAGATAAAGAAATTTGCACCATAAAATTGTATCCCAGCATGTTGCTGTAGGTTTTGATTTTTGAATTCATGTTACATGATTTGAATGAAGTAATAAGCGCAATTTGTGTATTTATTTATACCACATTATTAAACTTTTAAGTAGTCAAATTATTAATTTCTATTGAACTTAGGTTAATTTTCTTTTATTTTTAGTGAAGGACTCGTTGGAAGCAATTGGAGAGATAAGTACGAAAATTGAATAAAAATGCAATCAAATTACTAGAATAAAGAGACAAAGGGCTGGACCTATTATTTTGTGAATTGGACTGCAAAGTGGATTACAATTGGGCTGAAAAAGATATATATACACAAGAAACGATTGCCACTAGGAAGGGAAGTGAATTTGAAGTCAAACATTATGGCAACTTTGTAATTTTTCTCATACAAAACAACAAGGGCTGCTTTGGTGCCAAAAAAAAAAAAACCCCACTTTAATTATATATATACACGCAGGCCGGCAGAAACGAAAGAAGGATAAGAGAGAAGAAACCATAGAAAGGGGCGGCTGGAAGAGGAGAAAAAGCTGGCTGCCAATTGGGTGAGAATTGTAAAACAATTGGATTTTGTTTTGGAGGTCAAACAATGCGGCTGCTGGGAGTTTACGCATATATATATTTACATATTGAAGAAGGGCATCCTGTTAATTTTATATAGAGTCTATTTAGGAGTGATTTTGAGAATTAATTTTTTGATCGTTAAGAGAAAAGTAAGATTCACTTGTGAGAGAAGAAATCAAATATGAAGGTTGAAATAGTAAAATAAAGATAAAAAAAATCAATTTTTTGGATGAAAAAATCGCTTCCAAACAGGATTTAGATACAACACACATAATTGACTGGAAGACAAGTTGAAAAGGCGGCTGCTGGAGTTTAATTACATGCCAGTTGGGGAAAAATATATCTACCTAGACAACTCACACACGCACGCAAAAGTGGAGAAAATTCGTGGAATTAACTATGTTTCGTCAAATTTCGGTGATGTTGTTCCTATTTTTTGTGCTTAATTCCAATAATATGTTAGGCTAATTCCTCTCATGTATTTGATGAAGATGAAACACGTTATTATTTATTTTTAATTCAAGACACGTAGTTTAGTTTAATTCTTGTAATTCTTGATTAATCTTGCATGCTTTATTTATTTATTTGATTGCTTGATCACCAATTAAATATATGGTTACTTGTTGTAATGCTGAGAGGTTCACAATAAATTTAGAACACTGTATGATTAACATATGTATAATAAATTTTAGGAATAAGATT